GAAAGTCATGAAGTGAAGATTTTTTTATGTAGAAAATTTCTCCCCTCAAATTGAAAAAGGAAAAGAAACAAAAAAACTAAAACTGAACGAATTGGAATGCAAATTTGCGTGACATGGTGTACGCCCGATTGTCGATCTTATTATTTTCATAAATACAGAAAAAAAATGTGAATTCAGTCGGCACTGATGATGATGATGATGATGGTTGGATTGAATTTAAAAAAACACTATTCAGGGTTCCAAAGATCTAGGTATGAATCGCCTTTACATTCTCATTCAGGATTGTAAATTTGATTGTGGTATAAAGCTGAGCTAATTCTTCTTGTTTTTTCTCTCTACATGGATATGTACAGACAAATCTTTTTTTTTGGTGTGTCTAATTGAAATAAAATGATTCATTTCTGTATACAATAACAATTGTAGCTTGTATAACATATTGGGCATTTTTTCAAACGAAAATTATCATGTTAATGGTGAAAATATAAATGTTAGCTGAACAAGCTTAAGCAAAGAATTGTGATTTTTCCTCTTCTTCTTCTATCATCATCCGTTTATTCCTTGATTTTATTTCATGTTTTTATCCTGCTTTCAATTTTTATTCCATTTAAAGATCACCTTTCACTATCATAAAATCAAAACTAAACTAAAAAAAATACATGTAACGAAACAAGTAAAATATGTTTATTAAGCTGAAATTATTGAATTTGCGAATGGGAGGTGGTTTTTTATTTATTCCATGTATATGTCAGTTTCCTTTCAATCATCTTCATCATCATCATGATTGTTTAATGTCTCTATGACATACACACAAACAATAATTTTGGTCAGCGATAGTAGAAAAATCCAAATTGTAATAAAAAAGTTTAGCGTACTCTTTATATTAACTAAACTAGCCTAAAAATATAGCTGTGTGGATTTCATTTTTTTTACAAACATGTGTATGTAATGTGTTGATGATGATGATGATGATGATAATATTCATTAATCATTACACTAGGAAAATTAATCATTCTCTTGGAAATACAAAATCTCAACAAATCAACAATACAATTACAACAACGACGACGACTACATTCGAAAAGTATAATCCGTTTTTTCTCTTTCATTAAGTAATAAATAGTAGTAAAAAGTGAAATCAAAAGTGAAAAACAAACAAACAAAAAACAGGATTCAATGGAAATACTTGTGTTTGGATTATTATTTGATTGTTTTCACGTATATGCTCGCGTACCTATGTAGCCTTGGAATGTCGATCGATATTTTATGATGGTGTTTTTTTTCACTTTTTATTTTGTTAGACTCTTCTTTGGAGATTTGCTCATCATTTAATGATGAAATGTATGTATTGGACAGCTTTAGTGTGATAATCGAACATTTGAATGGATAAATAAGATTTGTTTGTTATATTGGCAAAATTGATTTGATTTGATTTGATGAAATGAATGTTTTAATGGATAAAGTTTTTGTTTTCCTGACTAAGAACAATAATAATAATCTTGCTCGTTGTTAGCTATTCACATTTTTTCACGATGATGGCCCGTTTTTTTCCACCTTGTGACCAAGGTGTGAATTTTTTCCCCTTGTTTGATTATCATCATCATCATCATCATTATTAGGAAGGTGAATGCAAAAAAACAACTAATGCTTGTTGTTTTTTGGGGGGAAAAGAGGGAAACTTATATGCTGCAAGTTTACCTTTTTTTTGTTGTTGAAAACAATGGATCAACATCATCACTGATGGAATGGATGGATGTCCATTGACAACTAGGTGGCTATATGGGTAATTTTTATTTTTCATTTTTAATGGTTCAATTCAAGTTAAGTGTGGCCCGAAATGATCAAGAGTGATATGATGGGATGAGATTTATGAGAGATGTTTTCCAATTCTCTTTCTCTTGCTTATTCTCTTGATGTTAATAAATGGCAACCGCCCTTGATCTGGCTAAAGTTTTTCTTTTCATTTCTTGTTTTTATTTTATTTCATTTTTTCTTTTCTGTCTTTCAAGCTCATCATCTTTGGCAGGGTTATATCGTATCTTTTCTACAATATAATTTTAGTCAAACTTTGAAGAATTCTAGGGTCTTTATTCATCGCAGAGATATTTTGGTTAAGAGAAAAAAATCGGGAAAAAAATAAAATCCCCTGAATAATAATAAAAAGAAGCCGTAAATTCTGAATGTCTGCAACATTGGTTTCTTTGGTCAACAATCGAAAGCAAATCAAAGAAAAAAAATGAAATGTTTGTCTAGAAGATTTTGAAATAAAGAAAAAAAATCAGACAAACAGTGAAAATTCGACAGTAAAAACGGTCTAAATTGATTGTTCAAGTGTATACAGGAATTTTTTCGTTCTCTATTTTTTTAAATCACTGGATTTACTATCGTTCCTTTTTACTTTCGACATGATTTTCATTGGAAAACAAAACTTATACGCATGAATCCAAGTCATTTTTATGGATTGTTTTTGTTTTGTTAGCTAGTCTAGGTTTTCATAGTTGTTATTGTTATTGTTGTCCTAGTTATCACCTTTAATTCGGAAAAGATTCTGAAAACATCTTCACATACAAACAAACAAACAAAGGAAAAAATGATTTAAAATTCATTTCAAACAATTTGACATAACAAAGAACAAAAGTGGATAAAAAGAGAGTGACAGGGCAAATAATTACGTTCTTTGAAAGATGAAAGATAAAGACGAAAGCTACTGATGAAAAATTTTCAAACGAATTCACGGCATCACCTTTTTGTCTGTTGATTTGAATTTGAATTGTGTTTTTGTTTCATACAATAAACAAGAATGGATGAAATTATAATCAAAGATAACTAAAGATTAACTTGGATCAGATTAATTGATTACACAATTAAATTAATTGAATAATCTTTACAAATGTTTTTTGTTTCATATCTTGAAATATCTAGATTTTCTATCTAAATTGAATCAACAACGACAATGATGATAATTATGATATAGAAAAGGATAAGGATAAAGAAAATAGCGGTACCATGACTGTCCATCATTGTCAATTATTCATTCTTTTTTCCTTAAATCAATCAGTGTATGACCACCATATGATAGTGGATAGTAACAAGAAAAAGCTAAAATGAACCCGTATTTTTCAATGTGATTTTCATAAATCTTAGACAATTTCTTTTCTTTTTTCCTGGTCGGGTGATCATTGTTAAAATTACATTACAAAATTGCAATTTTTTTATATCGGTCTTCATCTTTGTTCTGAGGTTTGTCCGAAAAATAAAAAATACAAATGATTTCGTTGTCATCATTATCATTATAAATGAAAACCGATGACATTTGCATTGTGAATTGGTCGTGATGTCTATGTGTAGTTTTTCTTCTCTATCGGATTGACCGTACCCGTTTTCCTTCGAGTATTCACGACCTTAAAAATTTTTTTTCTGGTAAATCGCTTCATTCATTTTGTGTGTGTGTGTGTGGTTATATGGATGGATGGATGGATAAATGAATGAATAAAATTATCGTCCATTTAGCACGACATTATTATTGTTATTATTATCATTAACCATGTTTGTCGCCTGGTTAGTTATATGAAAAATAGATTTCTTTTTTTATATTAAAAAAATTTATTTCTATTACATTTTTGGCGTTAAAAATCATTCGGCTGTTAGATAAACATAGGTCATCCTCATAGTTTATGAATGAATGGGCTTTTAATTTACCTGTATTCTTTATTATTATATTTTTTGGGTTTTTTGTTGTCAAATCATTTATATTTTATGTCGTGTTTCGATTTGTTTTGTTGTGTTCTTTTTTCTTCGTTAAAAATTCTTATCTTTTGGTCGAATGATAATAAAAAACATCGTTGTCTGTCAGATCTATTTGTATGCAACATGTGTGAAACAGAACATCAAGATCAAGGTCGATGAGATTTTCATATTCTTTTTTTTTGGTGAAATATTATTTATTATGGTTCATGAATTTTTCATTATTATTTGTTTTCTTTAACTTATTCAATTCTTAAATCATACAAAAGGAATGGACATTTTGATTTGACTTTTTTCATTCTCTCTCTCTCTCTTTCTCTCTCAATACATCATTCTCATATAGTAATAATAATGATTATGATAATGATTGAAGAGCAATTGGCTACCAGTATATATGTAAATAGTTAGGCATGAATTTTTTCTATCTAATTTATTCAATTCAAATCTTCGTTAGTCGATCAGGTCGGTTTTTTTCTTCTACTTTTTCACCATTCATTTCATCCCGATGATATACAGTAGTTTTGGGATGTTTACTCTGTTTTGTGTTGGGTAATAAAGATTGATATTTTCTTCTGATAATAGACTATACTTGAGTGAGATTTAATCATACTGTATATATGGGAAATTTTTTTTTTCTTTCAAAATTCTCATTTTTATTTTTAGATTTTAGATTTATAATCCTGACAAAAAGTGTGTATTGTTTCAATGAAATCCATACAACAATGATATCTATTGATTGATTCATTGATTGTGATAATTAAATAGGATGTAATCATGGATTTTTCTTCGAATGTAAAATCATAGAAGAAATATTGAAACAATTATCCGATAAAATAGAGTTTTTTAAGTATTTCATCATAAAGATAAATTCGCATCCGTATTGCCGTTTTTTTGGATGTGATTTCAAGTCTTGAATCGTAGTCTGTTTGTTTTGTGTGCGTATGTGTTTGGCCTTTTTTTGATCGAATTTTCGGCTGCTGTTTTGTTGTTGTTGTTGCTTGTCGAATATTTATTTTTTCTTGACAATATCAAACAGTCAGTATACTTTAGTTGATTGGTTGGTTGATTCTTGATAAATATTTGCCCAATTTGTCAGCATCATCATCATCGGTAGCAACAATATAAAAAAAATATTCAAGCCTTTTTTATTCTTGCACAAACGATATTGTTGTTTTATTGATACTGGATTCAAAATCCATTCAACTAAACAATTTCAAATAAACAGTTTAAACTAAATGGTTCTTTTTCCGTTTTTAAAGGCTAATCTATTCATGGGACTTGGCGCTGCAGCTACAAACAGTGGTACTGGTAATGGATCGCCACTTATTCTGGATACAGAATCACGTGGAATTCGTACAACAACCGGATCAAATTCGGCATCGTCAGTCAATATTGCTCCACAATCATCATCATCGACGACAATTTCATCATCGGCAAATCAATCATCACCAGGGTTAAATTTATTATCACATCATCTTCATCATCCAATTCATCAGCAAAAACATCATCAACATGGTACATCGCCGACAACTACATCAACGACAATGACAACCTCGACAACAAACAACCCTGATACATCGGCCGTAGCATGCGATGAATCATTAACGGCTGCATTTGGACAGGCTGCTGTTGCTGCTGCTGCATCACAATTACTCGATATAAAGGATGTAATTGGCACTTCGAATGGGGGTAGTTGTGATCAACAACTAAACGGTAGGTGCTACATTCTCGCATTGATATGAATGTAGAATAAAATAAATATATTTATTATTGTTGATTTATGTCTAAAAATGATGAACTAATACATTTGATGATATTAAATAAATTTATTATTGCATAATGGTTTGCTTTTGTTTACTAAATATTTGTGTGTTATGATATTCTTGGTCTAAGTACACAAGTGGCAATGAAATCGGAGTCGATAATGACTTTATTGTATACCATACGATTATATCAAGTATGGCCACACGTGATCATCAGTTATTTTGGATGCTAAAATCGGTTTCTGTTTTTTGTTTGTATTTGATAGAAAAAACACCGAAAATAGAAATCATGATCTTGTCCATAGTTTGGTTGAACGATAAAGAAAACTGATTTTTTTCTTATTTGTATAGGTAGTTTGTTGATAATCATTGGTACACTTGTTGCCATTCGTATATACTTAGATAAGTATTTGGGACATTTTGAGATTCAGTTTTTTTTTAGCAAATAACATTTGAATTTTATGTCCACGAAATTTTAAAAAAAAAGAATGAAAGAAAGATCGACACGATCGTTGATTTGATATTCATTTTTTTTCTTTACTACTACCCTTAAACCGAAAAACATATTTACAAATGAAAAAGGACAGAACAAGATTCTTGTTTCGAGACAAAGTCCAATTAACCTATGTCTTAAATGGCCTGATGATGATGATGATGATGATGATAATGATGTAATGAACACAAAAAAATGAAGAAGAAGGGATTATTGTATGAAAATGGTTTAGTCTATAGTCACCAGCTGTTTTTCCCTCATTATCATCATTTAATGTTCGTTATTGAATTGTGACTTTCACTTGAAATATTTGATTCGGTTGATTATATATTTGATTCGGATAATGATGAAGATGGTGATGATAAAATGATAGCTTAACCGAAGGAAAAAATCATACATGTATTTGAAATGAATACGGACAACATCAAAAAAAATTTTTTGTTATGAGATTTGAAGAATAAATCATTGGTTTGTTGTTTCATATCAATCTTATGATGATCTCTTTCTCTCTTTATTCATCAAAAATCACAAATTCTCATAAACTTTGACCATGTTTTTGAGTGTGAGTTTGTATGTAAGAAATATTTCCCTTTAAACACAAATATTAATTCTGGGTTTTTATTTTTTGTTGAATTCAATTCCATTGAAGCAAAATCTAGCCATTTTTATTGTAATCAAAAAAAAACAATTTCAATGTCATCCGTTTTTTTATTCACTCATTCGACCAACAGCCGAATAGTGGTCGTTGTTTGTTCATCATTTACAAGATTAGATTTTTTATTTTATTTTTGCCATATAAAAATAATGATGACAGACCATATCATTTAAGCACAGCTAATCTTAAATCGTCGTCGCATTAATATTTGGCCACCATATTTTTAGTTTAGATGTAGTATTTCGTTGTTGTTGTTGCTATTGATTATTTGCAAATCTCTTATTTTTTGGTTTTATCAACCAAAAAAAACGAAGAAAGAAAAGCTAAGCTCGCTAATCTTCTATCCAAAAAAATGTGTGTGTGTATATCTAAAAAAAATAAAATGAACAAAAATCGAATAAAATGACAAGGATTTTTTCATTATTTTCTGGCATGTTTAGTTAGTAGCCCTGACCTTGTATTGAATGTTTTTTCTTTCATTTCATTTCGTTGTTGTAATTTTATTAACAGCTTGATTACTAGCCTAACCCTCATAATAATAATAATAATAATAATGTTTTTCTTTGAAGAAGCAGCAACAAAAGAAGAAAAAAATTCTATATCTTTTTCTTATGGCATTTTTTTGCATATGTTTTGATTAAATCAAGTTTAGTTTTAGCATTTATTTTTTCTTTCGTTCTTTCATTCTCGAAAAATCAATCCCATAAATCTCCTAAAATTGGTTATCGTCTCGTGAGGCTTTAAGTGAAAAAATTTTGGTTTTTTACGCACAACAACAATAACAACGACAACAAGAAAATTGGCTGCGATAGCGATAACGAAATAAGCTAAATGACGTTTTTAAACTTTTGAAAACAAACGAAAAAAAACATGATCATCATCATGGAAAATGGCTGAAATGATAATTTCATAAGATTAAGAAGAATTAACCACTTTCGGTTTTTTTTGTGCTTGCAAATCATCCATTCAGCGAGGCTAAAACCAAAAAAAAGAGAAAATTTAATTTTAATCTAAATGTCTTTGCCAAGCATGTTGATAATGTTTTTATCTCCTTCTCCATGCTGATTCTCAACATGATTATGATATCCCCCATTGAAAAGATGGATAGATTTTCATGTTTTTCTTTTTTTTTCAAACCTGATGATAGGAAAGCAATTTATTCTTCGATGAAAAAAAAATTCATTAAAGAGTCAGGTTGCTAACAATTATAGATAAATTAAATATCTATCAACTAAATAAATAATCATTTTTGTTTCGTTGTTGAATGAGTTAAAGAAAAAATTTTTTCACACATAATTCATTGAGATCATTGAAAAAGATAATGCAATCTTATTGGAATTAAATGAAAAATGCTGTTTTTTTTTGTTTTACCTTGAATAAGCCATTAGATTTTTGTTTTGAATTTTCTAAATCTCTTTGAGCATCATAATAGGAAAAACATTACTGAATCCATTGATTGGAATTTCGTTCTTAACGGTAATAAGAATATTTCAGAGTACCTTGAATAGCATGAAACAAAAAAAACTCTTTTAGTAAGCAAATTTTGGCTGGTTAGTTTTTTTCAAAGTGAAAAAAAGATGAATGGTCTTACATATACACACAGGATATACTTAATCGATCTTATTTTTATTTCCATCTTTGTTTTTTTGCTGTCCATTATATATAGACCATTTTTTTCTGTTTGTTTGTGTGCTACTTTCATTTTTATAAGTGTGATGATGTATTGTCCCAAAAAGCAGAAAAAATGATGACTGGTTAGATTTTCGTTAATCCATTCTATAGAAATTGACTGATGGTGATGATAATGATTTTTTCTTTTTCTTTTTTTTGATACACATGCGTATTGAAAATATTTTTATTATTCTTACATTTGAATTCTGGATATTACTTTCATTCAAATATTAACAAATCGTTGAGAAATGTGTTTTTTCTTTGAATCTTTTTATTATCGATTTTATTTATCCATTCAGAATGATTATATAGAAAGTAAATAAATCTATTTTTTCCATTAACAAAAAATCTGCATCTATCCTTCCTATTCATGTGTGTGGTGTTCACAATCAGTTAATTATATGTGTTTATCTATGCTATATTGGTTGCCTGTTAAGTTTCATAAGTCGTAATAAAGATTTGAGTATTTCTAAAATTCTAAGGTTATCCTCATCCCCTCCATTTTGTATATATGTGTGTGTGTCCAGCATTGAATCGTTAAAACCGGGATGATATCAGATGGCCTGCATGCGCTTTTTAGCCCTTTTATTTGAACATTCTCTACGACATTTACAAAGAGAGAGATGGTTTTAGTATGAGCGGCTTAGCCATCATCGTCAAACACAGGCATCATATATCGGCTATACAACAACAACAACAACAGCTGCATCTCATCTATCCCAGTCATATCCGTCCATAGGGAAAAAGCAGGAGTCGAGCAAATCGAATCGAAAACAGATTAGCAGCAGTAGCATCAAAAAGCTGATGGATATAGCTAGATCTAATTCAGATCTTTTACTCAAATTTTTTCCTCCTGTCAATTTTCCTTTTACTAAAAAGCGGCTAATGCATTCTATGGGGATTTTTGTAACTCCATTCAAAATTCATGGACCATCTCCCTCTTCTCTTTTATTAATGCTTTTTGGTGCAAATGCGAATTATCTCGAAGGATATCAACCAAAACGACGCAGCAATAACATCAACAACAAAAAAAAAAGAATAAGTCCCAGATTAGCATTGACGAATGTAAAAACTAACTATAATTTTGACATTTTAGCCGTACTTTTATTTTATCCATTGTCTTTGTTGTCACTTTATGATCAAAATATAAAAATTGGTTTTACATTGGAATTTTTTCCTTATAATTATTGTTTCTCATCCTCTATATATCGACAAACCGGGATAAAGGGCCAGATTGCTGCTGTTGTTGTTATTGTGTTGGCCATTTGTTTCAATCATGCTCATCATCATTAGGCATATATAAGCTGCTCATGATGATCATGATGCTATCTTGTCTCTTGAATCTCTATCCATACCTCTCTTTTTCTCATATATACACAAATACGGATTAAGCGCTCGGTGAATTTATTTTACAATTTATTATTATTATTATTTTTCATTAAAAAAACTCTTTTTATCTTTATTTTGTGTTGTTGTTGTTATTATTTGTTACTGTATTATTATTATTGTATTTCATGGGCTCGAAAAAAGACCCATCTATAGCATTAATAATAACCAGTAAAATGAAGAAAAGAGTGAACGAATATTGTTAAGCTTCTCTCTACACTTTTCATGATATCTCATTTCTAGAATGATATTAAAAAAAATTCTCGAATTCTGGTAGGCAAGAGTGAATGAGATAGAGAAAGAGAGAGAGAAAAGCTTTATCCATGTGCTTCATCCTGAAACCAACCTATGTATCCATTGAGGCCAAAATGAAAAGTTGGTTGTTGTTGTTTTTTGCCTCTCATCACTTCTTTCGTATTGTTGTTTGTCGGTCGGTTTCATTTCTAGTTTTTTTTTTGTTTCGTTTTTTTCGGAATTAGTTTTAAATTGAACTAGAAGCTTTTATTATTATTATTATTATCTCGATTCTGCTGCTCATGATCCTCATGATCTGGATGCATCTTTCACATTCACATTTTAAAATGAAAACAAAAAATATTAATACTATAGTATTTGGTCTCTTCAGTTCTCATCATCGGTTCGAGTATTAAGCTGATTTAGCCCAATTTTTTCCCCATGATTTTTCTATCTCATCCATGGTTTTTGAGCTTGTCTTTCTTTTTCATTGCCTTCCCATCTCCCATTA